TCTGTAACATTTATATTCAAATGCATTTATGCGCTGTTCCGCTTGTTTAGTAAGGAACGGCATACTAGACACCATAAAAATCGAATAACATAGTTACCATTACTGAGATCAAACCTGTTACCTCTGTATGACGAATGCGCCTCGCCATGGAAACAAGTGCGCCAAAATACGTGACCACTAGGCACGCCTGAAAAAGGTGTCTTCTCTAGTCCTGTTTACCGTACGGCTTGAGATCCACAGCTATGGAATACGGACAGAATTCATCTCAAATCATTAAAATGGCACAGAAATGTATATTAACAAAGCCAAGGCTTAATAACAAACACTACAACAATTACAAACATATCGGACCGCAATGATGTGTCTAGAATACAACGAACATTTAAGAAAGTAGAACGTTTAGGGAATGTGTCCACAACTTCTGTTGCTAACGGATGATTCTCCAGTTATTGTCAAAGAAAGAGACAGGATAGAATGAGGGGTGAGGGAACGTATGACCAAGCTCTTTTCCCTCAAGGGGTTCACAATATGGGCACGCAAGCCCGTCTTACCTTCGGATCTTCCAAACACATAAATGCAATTTAAGGGAAATGACAGTTTCCCCCACCTTCATGCGTATTTGAAATACAGGCCTAGAAATATACATGTTTACGCTACTCACGCGGAAATTCTTCACGTGAAAGCTATTCCTCACTAGTACTACGAGTCTTGCTGCGCATGCATACTCTCAAGGATCATTGTGATACCCTCTCTTATGTAATTGTTACATGCTAACGCTTACAATTAATACTGCCTCGCCACTTTGAAAGCAATGTACTCTTTATTTTTGCCTTGGTTCTTTCATCTCTTGCCTTCTGTGAAATCTTCTGGTTCTTAAAAAATGAAATAAATCGATATTTCACAGACAAACAAAAAGATGCCAGTGCGGCGGACAGACAGCGGACGTCCAGTTTAGCGTCCAGTGACAGCTCTTCTAGTTCCGGGTCACCGCCCCGGGTCACTACAACACAACCACGTGCTGGTCCCTCCAGGAATTCCTACTTCCGGTAAGAAAATACACAGAAAGAAACGGATTGGGCAACACTTGAAACCCAGAAAGAGTATCTATATTTTTCATAGACAGATTGACAAGCATACAGACTGACAAGCAGACAGACTGACAAGCAGACAGACAGAAACGAAATGCCACTGAAAGGAACATAATTGTATCAGTATTTTGACATTTGAAATCTTTGTAATTAAATTACTGAAACTGTTCAAATTGCGCACAAAGGTAACTTAGGGTTGAACCGATCAGTTGAGAGTTGTTTTACATCTAAGTCATGGATAGTTTGTAAGCGTACGGGCTTTCCCGTCAACTAAAACAAACGTGCCGTCGCATAACTTGGCAGGTTTTTTTTTTTTTTTTCAACAGTGTGATACGAACTGGAAGCTGCAGACTTGTGGTTTTATAGACGAATGATGGGAATACCACGGACAGATAAAGAAAAGACGAATAATTGAATTAATTAATTAATTGCTGGATAATGAATGAATGGTGCATGCATGGATGGTTAAATGAGTGGACGGATGAATTAATTTAAAGCAAGAGACAATTCAAGGACGGACAGACAGACAGACAGACAAACGAGCAGACAGGCGGACAAAGCGAAAAAAACGACTGGCGGGAAAATATGAAAGAGGTCAGAAATTAATACTAATGAAGAAATAAATAGATAAATAAAGATAATTACTCAGACAGACTCTCCAAAAGACACTCAGACAGACTGTTCAAAAGACACACAGACAGTCAGTTAGAATTCCCAGGGAAGATGAAAACAATCCTATAATTTCAGAGTGGTCATCCAAGGTGACGAAGATGTGGGCAAAACGTCCTTGACCCGACAGTTTAGCAGCTCTGAATACATGGGAACCTATGACGTCACATCCGGTAAGTCATCAGATTGGCTCCCTTGTCTACGTCTTCATGTTCAGTCAGCTGTTGAACTTATGATTTCTGTCAACATTTGACGCAAATTGTGTTGATTAATTTAAAGCCACGCTCCGACGTCTTCGGGAGATCTAAATACAACCTAAGGGTTAGATGGGTCTCCTGTGACTTCCACCCACGTGATTCTTATCCAAATGGTGGCACTCTGTGTCACCGGGTGGTTATCGCTCGTCGTGCGGTCCTGATGGGGTTGAACGTCAATCTGTCGGGCTACCGTGATCATGTAACTTATATTTCGTTTCAGGTTTTAATCAGCCTTCTTGAAATTATGTAACGAGGTGTATTTCAGTATGTATTAAGTTCCTTGTTTCACCCAAATGTCATGTAATAATCACATAATGACGATATTCCCTCTAAATTAGCTGGATCACTCACCGCCTTCTTTCATAACAACCAGATAACATACTGACCACTTTCTCGTTAGAGACAGACAGACAGACAGACAGAGACATACAGACAGACAGACAGACAGACAGACAGACAGACAGACAGACAGACAGACAGACAGACAGACAGACAGACAGACAGACAGACAGACAGACAGACAGACAGACAGACAGACAGACAGACAGACAGACAGACAGACAGACAGACAGACAAGAAAGAACAGGACAGGACAGGACAGGAAAGGAAAGGAAAGGGAAGGAAAGGGAAGCAAAGGGAAGAAAAGGGAAGGGAAGCAAAGGAAAGCAAAGGGAAGGGAAGGAAATGAAAGGAAAGCAAATGGAAGGAAAGGAAAAGAAAGGAAAGGGAAGCAAAGGAAAGCAAAGGAAAGCAAAGGGAAGCAAAGGAAAGCAAAGGGAAGGAAAGGAAGGAAAGAAAGCAAGAAAGAAAAGAAGAAAGAAAGAAAGAAAGAAAGAAAGAAAGAAAAAGAAAGAAAGAAAGAAAGAAAGAAAGAAAGAAGAAAGAAAGAAAGAAAGAAAGAAAAGAAAGAAAGAAAGAAGAAAGAAAGAAGACAAAGAAAGGAAAGAAAGAAGACAAAGAAAGGAAAGAAAGAAGACAAAGAAAGGAAAGAAAGAAGAAAGAAAGAAGGAAGGAAGAAAGGAAGAAAAGAAAGAAAGCAAAGAAGGAAGAAAGAAAGAAAGGAAGAAAGGAAGAAAGAAGGAAGAAAGAAGGAAGGAAGGAAGAAAGGAAAGAAGGAAGAAGGAAAGGGAAAGAAAGAAAGAAGGAAGGAAGAAGGAAGGAAGGAAGGAAGGAAGGAAAGAAAGAAAGAAAGAAAGAAAGAAAGAAAGAAGAAAGGAAGGAAGGAAGGAAAGAAAGAAGAAAGAAGGAAGGAACGAGAAGGAAAGAAAGGAAGGAAGGAAGGAAAGAAGGAAAGAAAGAAGAAAGAAAGAAAGAAAGAAAGAAGGAAAGAAAGAAGAAGAAAGAAAGGAAAGAAAGAAAGAAAAGAAGAAGGAAAGAAAGAAAGAAAGAAAGAAAAACAAAGAAAGACAAACAAGAAAACAAACAAACAAACAAACAAAGAAACAAAACAAACAAACAAAAGAGAACAAACAAAAAAGAAGGAAGAAAGAAAGAAGAAAGAAAGAAAGAAAGAAAAGAAAGAAAGAAAGAAAGAAAGAAAGAAAGAAAGAAAAGAAACAAGAAAGAAAGAAAGAAAGAAAGAAAGAAAGAGTTCAAGTACCACAACCTTTTATCAACTGAACCGGTATCCTTTCCTCATACCCTCAAACCCAAAAAAAAAAAACTAAAATTCCCAGAACCTTCTGCCCACGTGACAAGTTGACACCATCGCCCTCCGGGAATACTCCGATATTTGTCTGATAACAGTCTGTCTAGTCGTGAACTAGCGCCCACGTACATTTGTCTGTCTGACGTTCAGACAAGTCTGTGACAAGGAAGATTACACCAAGTCGTCAGCAGTACATGACCTCTAGAAGGATTGGGTCCACTTCGATTATCGCTAGTGATTGCTAATCCATCGCGTTGATAAGTTCGCGACCCTTGTCTGATCTACGAGACCCTGAAGGTAGCTCGTGTGGCGGCATTGTGCAATACTTCTGGATTGTGGTTTCATGTTTGTCTGTCAGACCGGATGGATGGTGCCCAAATTGGGTGTAAGTAGAAATAGGAGACTCACCCAACCTCCCCTCCCCAACCTCCCCTCCCTAACCACATTCCCCATCTTCAATAATTTTGTATGAGCCCTAAGATTCCACCTGTAACCATCAACAGAACTTACCTTCCAAAACAGTGTTTCTCAACCTTCCTAATGCCGCGACCCTTTAATACAGTTGCCTCTTGTTGTGGCGACAATGATGGTCTTAGGCGAATCCCTATGCCACAAAAAGGGGTCGTGACCCACAAGTTGAAAACCGCTGTTCTAAAGTATTTGTCTATACCACGGCCAACACCAGATGTATATCTGGAGCTGGCCGTGGTCTATTCATTGAACGGTCGCTTGCGGATGCAAAGATCGTGGGTTCGAATCCCGGCGGAGCCAAACTTTTTTTAAGTGACCTGTGCTGACAGGTCGACCCAGCATTAAAAATGGGTACCATGTAAAGTCCTGGGAAATAAAGGTGGCCTGCTCACCCAATAAGGTCTACAAAATATAGGTCTAGCCCTCAGTATGCTCAATTTACATAAAGGCGTGTAAAAAAGTCTTTTATAAATTTCATATTATTTCAGGTGTTTTGTGTTTATACAGAACATTATGATTATTATTATTATAAATATTAATATTATTATTATTATTATTATTATTATTACTATTATTATTATATTATTATTATTATTAATATTATTATTATTATTATTATTATTATTATTATTATTATTATTATTATTAGGAAGTCGCCGTGGCAGTGGTGGCTAGACGCCCCCCTGCGGATTGTAAGGTCGTGGGTTCGCGTCCTGACGGAGCCGGACATTTTTTTTTCTTCTAAAATGAATTTGACCCCCTTTAGTGGGTACCAGGTGCAGTCCTGAGAAGTAAAGGTGGTCGGTATGATACTGACCACATCATCCTCCTAGTGCCGATTGGGTTTTAAGAAATATAGGGGCTCTTACCATTTGCCCAAATGGGCCTGCACTTCAGAAATTAAGTCATGCCGATTCTGGTTGGGGGTCAAAGCTATCTGGTTGAGGGTCAAAGCTTTCTGGTTGGGGTTATATCGATCTGGTTGGGGTTATATCGATCTGGTTGGGGCTTATGTCGATCTGGTTGGAGCTTATGTCGATCTGGTTTGGGGTTATGTCGATCTGGTTGGGGGTTGTGTCGATCTGATTGGGAGTTGTCGATCTGGTTAGGGGTTGTGTCGATCTGGTATGGAGTTGTGTCGATCTGGTTGGTGGTTATGTCGATCTGGTTGGGGATCATGTCGATCTGGTTTGGAGTTGTCGATCTGGTTGGGAGTTGTCGATCTGGTTAGGGGTTGTGTCGATCTGATTGGGAGTTGTCGATCTGGTTAGGGGTTGTGTCGATCTGATTGGGAGTTGTCGATCTGGTTAGGGGTTGTGTCGATCTGGTATGGAGTTGTGTCGATCTGGTTGGTGGTTATGTCGATCTGGTTGGGGATCATGTCGATCTGGTTTGGAGTTGTGTCGATCTGGTTGGGGATTGTGTCGATCTGGTTGGGGCTATTTCGATCTGGTTTGGAGTTGTGTCGATCTGGTTGGAGGTTACGTCAAAGTTATCAGAGTATGCATCTTTCTATTCGTGGCCTTTCTCGCAATCAGTAAGGCAGACAAATGTGAGTTTCTGAATTTATATCCTATATAATCATTCTTAGATGCCACGGACTAATGAGAACAGGAATGCTGTTTCAGGCGGGCTTTGTTTGAGCGACATTCTGTAGTTACCTGCTCTTTGATGGTGATGATGACAAAAACTAATAAAGAATGAGAAATCGAATTAACTGAATGAGAGAAAAGCTCACAAACTGTCAGAGAATGAGAAGTCGCTAGGAAATCTTCTTCTTCTTTGGCTTCGGTTCCGTGTACTTAGGTCAGACTATCAGCTGGGCTGCCTCTATGACGAGCTTCGGTTCCGTGTACTTAGGTCAGACTATCAGCTGGGCTGACTCTATGACGAGCTTCGGTTCCGTGTACTTAGGTCAGACTATCAGCTGGGCTGACTCTATGACGAGCTTCGGTACCGTGTACTCAGGTCAGACTATCAGCTGGGCTGCCTCTATGACGAGCTTCGGTACCGTGTACTCAGGTCAGACTATCAGCTGGGCTGCCTCTATGACGAGCTTCGGTACCGTGTACTCAGGTCAGACTATCAGCTGGGCTGCCTCTATGACGAGCTTCGGTACCGTGTACTTAGGTCAGACTATCAGCTGGGCTGCCTCTATGACGAGCTCGCATTTCAGTTGCAGGTGTCTTGTGATTCCCACTCTCTCCTTCCCCCCCCCCCCCCCACCTCTTGAGGCTCTTGAGGCCATTCATCTCTTTAGGTTTAGATTAAGACGACAGGTCGACCTCATGGCACAAGGACAGTAACCCATAAGTGCTCTGTTCTACAGTGCACAGGCTCTGTAGCACCGGCGAGGATCCTGAAATACTTTGGGACGATGTTAAACTCCACATTTTACTCGAGCAGTGCCGTTAGACTACTCTTTTTCGATTGCCAACTGTCAAGGTATTTTTTGTACGTGCGAAACAATACACACGAGCGTCCGATCGTACTACCCAGAGACCAGGGGAAAAAACTAGAAGTCCACGTGACAAAATCACAGCTTGAACCCGGGACCTCCTGCACTCGAGGCGGACGCCTTGCCTGCAGACCACGTAGCCTCCCCCCCCCCCCTCCCTGCCCCCACCATTTTACCTAGTTCTAGACATAGTAGGCAGTCCTACAAAATGTACTGAGGTCTGAGAAATAAACTGTAAGGAAACAGAAAATAACATACACTATAAAATAAAATAAGACATCACAGACATTATGAAACAATAAGACATGACAGAAACTATGTGTTGACACCCCTCTATGC